CTATTCCAGGCTCTTGAATTTTTTTTCTGAATTTCTGCAAATATAGAAAATCCAAGACTCAGAAGGAAGGACATTTTTTTTCCTAATTTGTTTTCAATTTCCCCTCTTTCTCTGTATCTGTAAGTTTGGGAGGGTGGTATAGTACAGCACTTAGGCCACATTAGGCTCCTACAAGAGAAGTCATCCTTAGGTCGTCATCCAGCCTAGCGATTCCACGTAGGCGACGACGTCCCCTTGACATAGAAATCTAATGAAAATATTTCATAAATCTGGAAAATTCAAGTGCCTGGAATAGACGAAAATACCCTTTGAGATAAAGTTTTTGCTGAAATGAGCTACTAATTCTAGACTAATCTTTATTTTTTGACTGATTTTCTGTTTCCAACTGGACAAAATTGGGAGTTATCCTCGGAGTACCTAATCTATGCTGTAGACATTCGCTATTTGTTAGCATTTTTCAAGTCACAAGGAGTCAGTGTTTCACCAAAAATTGCAGAACTCAGATATATGGACATCAAACCAAATAATTTAGTTCCTGAATAAATACCAGAAATATATTTGTTTGTGGGATGCCTCATCTCCAGAATATATTAAAAGAGATGCCAGGGGTAGAGCATTCCAGTGCCCTGGTTGAAAAATTAAATGCGTATATAAGAGATTTGAAGCTAGCTGTCCCCAGGTGCAAGATACTAATTACTGATGAGTAATCTCAAGTTTGGTTCTGCACGGAATAGCTAGTCTCAAATGAGTATCTCTTTTTCTTATAATTGGTACTACAATTCTTCGAATTTTGGAACTGACAATCTTAACATGTTCTTATAGGAAGGGCCGATCTTAGGGTGTCGGCAGCCCGCGTGCAAAGAGCAATTTCGCCGCCTTATAGGGATATAGCCCACCATACATAGGCGCCGGTGGTGGGTGCCACGCCCAAAAGCGTTCATTTAAGCCTCAAAATCAAAGTTTTTGGGTATTTCGAGTTAAAAAAAAACTTGTTCGGAACATATTTGTTCTCTATGAGTTTTTTAAATGCGGGTGAGTGGTGATCAATAATGACAAATCAATTGTGACAAATAATATCGTAAAACTAAGTAGGGCCTGGGTACGTAAGTAAGAAATAGGGCCCAGTGGAAAATGAAGACATATCCCTGTCCCTAATCGTAATACTTACCTACATAACATACCCACCTGCACTTGGAAGTCTTTGGTACCAAAAAATAAGTTGGTAACATCCCCAGTAGCACAGAATGTTGGTCCCATGTTGCGGATACATTGGACCAATATTGTATGTTGGCCCAATATTGGCATTTTTTAGCCAACATTGGACATTTATTGGCAATACAACTTCTTTCATCATTATAATAATATATTTATTCAAGAATGGGCCAATATGCACAAACAATATTTTAATCGGCAGAATATAGCCAAGATTGGTTACATATTGGCAATACAAATTGTTCTTATATAACAGTGATATATTTATCCATCATTGAACCTACATAAGAATGGGCTAATATACACATAAATATCTTTATTGACATTATTTAGGCAAAATTGGTTGATTATTGGCAATACAACTTTTTCTAATGTTACCATAGTATTGTATCCATTAATGGACCAATATAGGGTGACCATACGTACAGCATTTCGCTGTATTGTACAGCATTTTCAAAGTCTGTCCAGCATTTGATTTTGTCCAGCAAACGTACAGCGATTCAAATCCGATCATAATAGACCGATCTCCTATTACCTGGACTGCGCGCGTCGCTTGTAGGCTGCAGGTGAGCGTCCAATGAGAAGCAAGTTTGGTACAGGTTTGCGTCATATTCTTATTCAGGGGCCAGTTCAGAGTGAATCGTTCCTTCTTTCTTTGTAACGTGTAATTCGACAAAGAGCAAACTAATACTTTTACATATTACTTGAACTCACCGCAGTGTCGTTTAAGGTTTTGTCAGATTATACTTGACATATTCCTTTGCAATTTCATTGTGTGATGTTGCCGGGTGAAACATTTATCAAAATAAAAGTGTAAACGATGTTAACATAAACTTTTCAAGCGCTTCTTTTGTCTGATTCAAGGCGTTGTAAAACACTTGACACTATATCACTTCTTTAATGTGATAATGTTCGATTTGTATTATCTTTATTTGTTCTGCAACAATACAATCTGGCTACACTGAACCTACGAGTTGCGCGCGCATGTCATCTTTTATTACTTTCTAACTTGTATTTATTACAATTAAGCTCTCTTTCTCTATTTATGCGAGACAGGCCTATTAAGTTTTTCTTTAAAAAAAATTACGAAAAATTGTCCGTCAATAACTATAACGACATTTCTACATTTGCGATTTACGTCATTTACGTCATTAAATATAATATTTTACCAATATTTTTGTGCTATACTGGGGATTGTTAGCGGCAGTATTCACCTAGTTCTGTTGGACGGTTAGTAATTATTCTTGCAGAACTAGGTGGAGTGGGAACAAAAATAAACATTTAAAAAAAACAGAGCAATAATATTTAGGAAATATAAAAAAGTTTGCGATCCAATAATGGATGTGTATACAGTGACTGTGCACTAAACTTTCTATTTATGCTATCGGGAGATCGGAGTTTATTTTAATTTTTCAGGAGTTTTTTAAAGTTCAGCTTATTTCTTTACTAGAAGTAATTTTATTTTGAGAAATTCGTGAAAAGTTTTACTTGAATCTTGAATGACAGAACTATTATTATAGGCGGCCGCAGGCCGCCTCTAAATTTAGCCGCCCTCGTGCGGGGCACGCGCTGTACACCTGAGCTAGGACTCTGTAACGAATAGAGATTTTTTCTCACCTCTATTGAGGTTCCCTCTCTATTGATTTCCAAGAGAGAGAAGAAGATAGCAAGTGCCATAGCAATAGGGATAACGATCTCTATCCATTACAGAGTCCCAGCTTTGGGTCCTTATTCTTGAAACTGGGAAGCAGCATTCCAGGAGAACGAGTGTTCCGTCTTTCTCGATGATATATGCAAATGATAATATAAGTAACAAAGACGGAACACTCGTTCTCCTGGGAACGCTGCTCCCCTGTTTCAAGAATAAGGACCCTGCTAGGATCGGCTCTACTTATAGGATACAGGGTTCTCCTATGCAAGCTCTTTTAAAAGTTTTGATGAAACCCCTAATTCAGTTCTACAACTTATGCAGTAGGTACCTATCTAACCCAAATGCGTTTTTTCTTGAACAAAGTTCGTTGGCTTCCGTCGTAGTGGAGCCACAGAAGACATCTTTTCTCCAGCAAATTCAACAAAAAATTGACACAACACTGATTTTTCTTGCAAGCAGCAGCAATAATGCCATTACTTTATAAAACCAATGTGAACCAAAATCAGTGACTGCTTACTGTGGCTGTTTGTAACCACCCACATAACAAAATTGCATCCTTAGAATGTAATGGGAATGTTCTTTTTTTAGGAGGAATGTGCCTAGAATGTTCGCCAAAACCATTGCGAATGTTCTGATAAAAGATTGTAGAAATACTGTTTGCAATACCCAAGAACTTCCTGGGAAATCTATTAGGATTTTCCTAGAATATACCTATGAGATTCTCAGTAAATCCTGAAAAGAATATTCCTGTTTGATTCTAAAAATATGCTTGAAATGTATATTCTCACATTCAAAGAATGTTTCTATGACATTATAGTTATGTTCTCAAAGGAATATTATACCAATATGCTTGAAATATTCTTAGAATATATCTACATATATCATTCTCAATATGCATCCTAGACATAACATTCATGTTTGATTCTAGGGATATACTTGGAATGTTAATTTTCGCTTCCAAATAATGCTCCTTTCAGTCCTTTTATATCAAAGGCAGTGAAAGAGTTGTTGGAAAACTTCTCTGGAAAACACAATTAAGTGTTTAACCAAAGCTCCGGTTTCGAGCTTGTTATGCTCTCGTCGCGGTAAGCACGCCAACTGAGAGAAACAGGTTCCAAGGTGATTCAAACGCTAGGCAAGATGTAGATCTTTAATAGCGCGTGGCTCCCTCTCTTGGAAGTCCTACAAAGCAAAAGAAAAAGAATATACCTATAATATTCTTAGGAGATTCTAGATAGAGCAATATTGTTTAATTGTTCAATTAAGATTTTTGAGTAGGTACTTTAGATAATTAGGTGAACAATATGAAAATATTCTTATCATGGTTACCTACCTACATAAACTTCTCAGCACAACTTTGGTAGGTATATTCTTAATACTTGATAGAGATATTAGCCGAAAGAACATTTTTTAGGGTACATTATAATAATGTTCGTATGACAATATTCAAATAATGTTATATAAAGTAGGTTCTTGGCACAATCTATCAGGTAGAAGCAATAACATTCCTAGTACATAAATAGAACGTTCAAAAGTGAATATTTCAATCGAAACAATCTTAGAATATTCATTAAACATTTCTAAAAGAAGGAGGGAATATTCTGAGAATATGAATGTTCTTTCACTGTTATGTGGGCAGCAGCTGGTGAAGCAGCCTTGTCTGACTGACGCTTAATAGTCTTCCAACTCTGATGAAAAGTAAGTTAAAATGGCAAATATTTTGAATTAAAATTGAGTGATTATTTTCAGGTCTCAAAGTTGATGTATTTTTTTCTGTGTAAAATTGCAAATCGCAAGTGGTACCGGAGCCAATCAGTACCAAGCGACTTTCATTGTTTTTTGCTTCTCTCCTGTGTTTGCAACGTTGCCAAGAGACTTTGAAGAAAATCCTTAAGTTGATTTTCAAACTGTTAGAAGCTTTTATTTGAATTGAATGTGCAAATACTGCAAATCAAAGGTGGTTTTTCAAAATTAAAACCCCCTGTAAATAGGATTGTTTTCTTTTGAAAAATTGTAAATATGTTGAGCATTTTTTCTGGAAAATGGGTTAATTGGTTTAGAAAAACTAGAATATTTATGACTTTGTTCCTAAATTGTTTGATTCCCATCCCCATTCTTAGGAAAATTCCTATATACAAAGAAATCAATTTATTTGAAATATTTTATTCTTTCTAACATATACAAATAATTTGTTAAACCATAGAGTTTTAACATAAATATTTAACCTAAGGGGAGAAAATGATTTGGTGTTAAAATTTACCCATTTTTAAAAGTAAAAATATAATGTCAATCAGCAGTCATTCATTCATGTTGTTAAATTGAATAACAATAATTCCATTAAAATTAAATGTTCCATTCTTCACCATCCCTACGCCAAGAACTGTACACTTTCCAAATTGATAATGTGGAATGAAATTTTTATTATAATTGAAATAACTTATAATTATGAAACTTAATACATATTAATTACAAATACTTGTAGAAACTCCATCAAAAACTAACCAAGTTTTATTTAATTTTTCCTGTTATATTTATTTTAAATTACAAGACATTTTTCAAATTAATTTTTTTTTTGTTTGTCATAAATTAATACTAAAAACTCTAGCGCTTTCCGTTGTTCAAATTTAAAGTCCTTAGAGGTATTTTAAATGTTGAAGCTGCTTGCTGCTGGAGCTGATAAGCTAGTGGATGGATTTTAAAACCAAATAATCTAAAATTAAAAATATGTAATATTATAATCATAAGATTCATTAAGAAAAATTCTTACCTAGGAACAAATTGGTTGGTAGGGCGTTTTGGTCTGTATTCGGGATGAACCATGAAAAGCATATGGGGAAACCCAGTGCCAAAATAAGCCCCATCAGTGTGATGGTGCCTTGAAGACTTTGGGGTGTAAACATCCATGCATTTTGGGCAGTAACACTTGACCATGGCCTCACCAGGCACATCTGACAAACCCAATGGTAACATGTGCTGAGACTCGCAATAAACTCTCGGACAAAATCCAAAATCTCCTACTTGGTATTTTTCTATCATTTGGGCGATACCACGATTTGTGAGGATGTATCTAGCGTGAATCAAGCCGTAGAGCATTTCTGCTGCTTGTTCTATGAGATCCGATTGGTTGGGATTATCGTCTAGTTCATCATCTAGAAATGGTTAATCATACAGGTGGAAATATGCTTGAAACTTGTTAAAGATAAAAGATGCTATACCTAACCTTAAGGTTTACAATTTAAGTACAAAGAGCTTTTGCTACTTATACAATACACATGTAAAATACAAAAATTCTTACCGGGTTCTAGATCTAATATCATATCCAAAGCTTGTCTATAATGAGGAACTTGTTCATTGAGCCCCGTTAAATTGAATTTGTCTTGTATGTAGTCTTCGTCCACCTAAGAAAACATGTTTGTAAATAATGCCTTTTATTGCTGTGGGGCCTAAACTCGTGGGTTACCTCGCAAAAGAATTCGTTTCCTCTAAGGCCGCAAAACCACGAAATCCAAGACACTTCCTCGGAGCTGCTCATTTTTCTGTGAATTAAATTTAAAAGGAAAATGTTTTACTACGAAATTTTATACCAATGTCACTTTTTTTAAAGGTTCGGTGTGGGGTATTCGATTAGAAAAGTCATTTCATTGCATAGTACCCCTCTAAAGGGCCAAATGCCTAATGAAAGACAGAGAGAGCTATATAGACAGATATACTCCAGCTGCTCCAATTGAACACGGACCCAACCTTTTTATTGAAGTTTTTCTAAATTTTCCGAGCAAATTGTGAGCTCTAATTAATCAAATATCGGCTGGAAATGTTTGGAAATTATCCGGAAAGAAGTCGGAAAGGTAAAATATGGGAAAAATCGGGAAAATTTACCTTTTAGTGCCTTGATTAGCCACGCTTACGATAACTTCATCTACGCGAAAAAGAAAGCGATCAGGATGACATCTACAGTGAATTAGGAATATTTTTAACTGTCAGTTGAATAAGGCGGGCGATTCAAAAATAAATAATTGCGTGTAAAACTCAATAATAAATTTTATTAAAAGTTTCTAAACTATTTGTGCAATTCAAATTTTTCTATTAAAAATTTCTCAAAAAAATAGGTTCCATTTGTTGTCTAGTTCTGAATAAAATTCTCAAGTTGCTACTGGTGGCGCCATCTATATGCCCAATTTAAAATCTTACAAAATACACTCCATTACAAGATAATTTCAATGTTTAGTGTAAGATGGCAGCAGTAGTTCTGGTTCCCAGATGGCGTTTGGGTCGTTCCACTAAAAATAAAAAATAAGCATTTTGCCTGCCGTATAACAAGGTCAACAACTTTATTTTATCAAAAAGCGAAAATTTCGGTGTAATATCCATTTTAAATAGTGCTCGGTGATGTGATTGTGTCCGCAGGATGGTGATTTTCAGGAAAAACTAACAGGTGAGCGTTAAAAATTGAACCAGAACAATCCAACTTGTAATCTTTTTGTTTGATAACGATTTTCTTGGTAAAAGAAGAAACGAAATCCCAGTCTTGTTGTAGGGAATTTTTCAATTTTCTTGTCGAGCCCGAGGCATCGGATCAAACGACGCAAACATTCACGGGAAATTGGAAAAATCCAGCCGAAAAACTGCAACTTTTTAATTTTCAGCTGTCAATTTCGATTGTTTACGATTTGCGAGCTACATGGGAAAATAGCGCGGAATTCAAATGCCAGAGTTTACAATTTTATTATGTTTCGTTTTTAATTGCCTTATTGCTTCACCGTTTTTGTTGTTTATCTGAAGTGGACTTGATCTAATGGTATTTGGAATATTAAATTGGTTGTATTACATAGGAAAAATAATGTTAATTGAATAATTTGTATGAAACCTGGAACTTCCCCAAGGTGTTTTCTTTTCTATTATACAACAAACAGCCAAAATGAAATCTCATTTTGTTTAAGGGGCTACTTTTTAAAATAATTCCTAGTTTTTAATAAACTATTATAAAGGACTTACGACTTACCTATAACAACTCGACAGCAAGACCTTGAATCTTGGTACAAGCAAGCAATTTTCTTTGATGATTTGAAGCTAAATCGCTTGAAAATAATTAGAAATTGAATCTTCAATGTATTATTCGAACAGTCTAAAATGGACAGTAAATCCCTAATTTCACTCTATTTAGTTCTGGAATCTGGTAAAATTAGTTCTACTTTGTGCAAATACATTTCTAGTCAAAGGTTTTCAAGGGCTCTAGAGCCAAAACTCAAGATATAGACTCCTTGAAAATATCAGAATTGACTTTCTTAAAGCTAAAATTTTCACTAGAAAATTATATATCTTGCTATACCTAAATCTATAATAATAGTAAGTAGACCTGATATTCAATTAGAGAAATTGTCGAGTATTGTCAGGTATTGTCACTTTATTCTAGGTATTGTATGGTATTGTAGGGATTGTCAAGTATTGTTAACATATTGTAAGTATTTAACTAGTACTGTCGGGTACTGTAGATGAAACAGCAATACTTAACCTGTATTGTAAAGCAATTTTTAGTACTGTTACTAATGTAGAAGTACTGTCGGTACTGTTTATGTATTTTCAGAACCAATGTTAGTACTGTGAATGTAATAATCTTTGTTATTGCTAAGTGTAAATTGTGTCCAAAAATCACTGCTGATGGGTTTTCATTGACAGCTCTTGTTTATTAAGTACATATTTTTTAAGCTTTATGCACTATGCATTGGTAAGATGCCAATTGTTTGATCTAATGTGATGAAACTAGGGAGTTTTGGGCCACCATTGGTAGGTATATCGGAACAGACCTATGACGGTCTTGTAGGTACTGTGAACTAATTTGTACACCTACTGTCAGGAGGTGTCGACCCCTCGGTATAACCATCAAGTGAAAGTACCTACCTTCTAGGATTTAATTGATAAACGGGGACTTCCAAATAGGTTAGAATTAACAGTACATTCTTACTTATGTGATGCTGATCAAACATGTAAATGTGAGGTGAAGATAAAAAATCAGGAAAATGCTAAATATTTAGGAGTTTTCATTGACCAGCATATGAAGTGGAATGTACATGTGGAGTATGTTGCCTCAAAATTAAGGAAACTTGTTTATAAGTTCTATGAGCTGAGAGATATTTTGAATGTTGAAGCTTTAAAAATGGTATATCAGGCTCTTGTAGAGTCAGTAATAGGTTATGGCCTAATTTGTTGGGGAGCTGCCTGTAAAAGTGTTATAAACCCAGTAATAATTGCACAAAAATACATACTAAAGGTTATGCTTAGGAGGGGTAAACTATTTTCTACTGATTTCTTATTTAAAAGTACGGACTTATTAACTGTTAGACAATTATATTTAAAAAACATTATTAGGTTTGCACATAAAACAAATTTATTTCCATCTTTTGTTGATCATGAGATTAAAACCAGAGCAATATCCAACTTAAATGTACCATATGAAACACAAAACTTTTCTATAACCCAGAGATCTATCAGATATATCTGCCCCAAAGTGCTAAATATATTGCCCCTTAAATTTAGACAAAGTCGATCAAGAGAATTTAAATATTGGAGTAAGGGGTTAAGTGAATGGCTGAGAACACACTATGAGAGAATAGATGAAATATTAGTCTTGCTATTGTAATAATTTAAAAAAAATATATATATTATAATAACAATAATACACTCAATACACTTAATAATAATAATTAAAAGAAAAAAATTGAAAAACCTGTGTGTTTCTGAGAGAAAAAAGGGAAAAGGAAAAAGGGAAAGGAAAAAATGAAAAAATAAAAAAAAAAAAAACAAAAAACTTCAAAATAGCATTGTACTTGCACACTGACTGAAACTAAGATATTATGTTTATTGAAATTATTTAGATTTATATGTACACACACAAACCGAAAGGTTAATCGTGTACAAAAGGAATTGTCTAAATTTTGTATTTAATTTTTTTTGGAAATAAATGATTTGATTTGATTTACATGGCGGACCCCGTATATAAAACGTTTCCGCTTGTTAACTAAACCTGCTGATAACTTTTTCTATAGGGTGTCTTAAATACCATGGGCCACCATTGGTAGGTATATCGGAACAGACCTATGACGGTATTGTAGGTACTGTGAACTAATTTGTACACCTACTGTCAGGAGGTGTCGACCCCTCGGTATAACCATCAAGTGAAAGTACCTACCTTCTAGAATTTAATTGATAAAATCACAGAAAATAGAAATACAAAATACCTACTAGTAGCGGATTTTAACTTAGATATTATTATGATATATCACAAACAAACATCTACCATTTTAGAATAGAAGAGCATCACTGTCGCAAGAAAGTTGCCATTTCCGAAGGTTATCAAAAATATATTTTTGCTGCTGCCAAATTTCTATTAGTTTCCAAGATACAGGGTAATTTGGTAAAAAACACCTAGAACTGTTTTTTTTTTACAAATCATCCTGTATCTCGGAAACTGATAGAAATTTGGCAACAACGAAAATATATTTTTAATCACCTTCGAACATGGGAACTTTTTTTTAATTCAACCGCCCTCGTATCTCTCACCGTTTAGAGATGGCCCATGGTATTTTTGGCACCCTGTATATCGTTTATTAATTCCTAAACCTGTTTTACCGAGGTGCTGCTCACTCACCACAATTTGTACATCGACTTCAACAATTTTTAAAGGATTTCGAAAGATTTCGGATATTCGACTTTCAACGCCGTACCACTAAGGATTTCGTTAAAATTGGGATTTCAGTTAGGATTTCGGGATTTCTGAAGGATTTTGGTTGGGATTTCGGGATTTCGTAAGGATTTCGGATAGAATTTCGCTCTTCGCGATTTCGAATGGATTTCGGATTTTCCAAAGGATTTTGAAGTGATTTCACGGGATTTCAGATGAAAATGTATGTATTTAAAGCGATTTCGGGAGTGAGCCGCCTCTCGCGTTTCGCATATGTGTATTTTTACGTGTATTTCTACATGTACAGGGTGTCCCAAATTCGAGGGTGACCATCAAGATATCGGAAACTATAAGAGATACGAGGTCGGTTGAACTATAGCAAAGTTGCGCAATTTTATGACCAATAAAATGCTGTTTTGAAATTTGAAAAATTCCGAATACTTCCGAAGATTTTCAGAAAAACCGAAATTTTGCAAAATCATTTTAATTTTTTCCTGAGTCTATTTAAAAAGCAATTTCAAAATAAATGTCACTCAATCATTGTCACTTTTTTCCCTTAACAAGATGTTGCTACCAAATTTCAGATCGATTCGATTTCGACTTTTCGTCTTTGAGCGGCCATCATCAACTTCATTTTTCTAAATATGGACCTGGATTTTTTATTTCAGATTTTAAGAGTTTCTAATGTCCCAAAACCTATGACGTATTGCATTTTTTCGAAAAACTATTTTTATTACTTTTTAGCAATTTCCTACCAACAGAGAAAACTCTGTCTCTCTCTAACACATTAAGTTCTTATGAAAAGTGCCAATAATATAAAATTTTCGAATAAGTGCAATATCCCATTGGTTTTGGGACATCAGAAGCTCTTAAAATCTAAAATAGAAAATAAGGGTACGTATTTAAAGAACTGAAGTTGATGATGGTGGCTCAAAGACGAAACGTCGAATCTGAAATTTGGTAGCAACATCTTGTGAAGGGCAAAAAGTAACAACGATGGAGTGACATTTATTTTAAAATTGCTCTTCAAATAGACTCAGGAAAAAATAAAAATGATTTTGCAAAATTTCGGTTTTTTCCGAATATCTTCGGAAGTAGGTATTCGGAAATTTTCAAATTTCAAAACAGCATTTTATTGGTCATAAAATTGCGCAACTTTGCCATAATTTAACCGACCTCGTATCTCTTATAGTTTGCGATATCTCAATGGTCACCCTCGAATTTGGGACACCCTGTATAAAAATAAGTATTTATTCATGAATTTCTTCACGAGATTAGCTAGGTATTTTTTGGTGAAAATATACAGAAAATTTCAGTTCTACTAACTTTCCTTGCCAAAATCAAAAATTAAAACCAAGCGGCAGTAATGACATTATTAACCTAAATTTAAATTGTTAACAAACACCAGCTGGGAATCCAGGGCTGGGACTCTGTAATGAATAGAGATATTTTCTGTGTCTTGGCGTCCCCTCTCTATTGATTTCGAAAAGATAGAAGAAGATAGCAAGTGCCATAGCGATAGGGATAACGATCTCTATCCATTACAGAGTCCCACAGCCCTGCCTTCCTATTGGTTGGAACGCCCTACCAGGACCAGAGCACATGCGCGGAGGACATTTGGTAGGTTGTAATGAAAATGACCAGTTATGTCAATACTGTCGCTTGCTTGGTTCAACTATAGTTATATAGTGAAATTATTATGGATGCACGTCATCAATGACGTCGAAATTATTGCCAATTGCAGTCTGTAAGAAATT